CTCCTGGGGCTGGGGATCAAGCACTGTGGGGAACAAGAACCAGCCTCTCTTCCCATCACTCCAGAGCCCCCAATAACCCGGGCCACCAAACCCCAAAGTCCAGCAACCGCGGCCCCCGCCCCTTCCCCGGACCCGCCACGCTCACCTGGCCCCGCCTTCTTCTCACCTAATTCGACTGGTACTGTATAGTCCCGCCTCTTCCCACGGTTCACCCAATCCGCTTCCTCTGACATGACCCCGCCCTTCCGACGTCCCGCCCCTTGCCCACCTGGCCCCGCCCACACCTCCTCACGGGGCCCACCTCTCAGCGAGTCCCACCCTGGAATCCCAGGCCACGCCCACCCGCCGGTGTTTACAGACCCCGCCCCTTTCTCCAGTTCCCCCACCACCACCAACCCCCCTCCTCCCCGCCGGCTGCTGAGCTGGGCCCGCCTCCGGCTTTGCCGCCCCTCCATGCACCGACTCGTCCTCACGTACCGGGCCCCGGCCGCCGCCGCCGCCCGCCATCCTCGCCCGCGGCCGCCGGCGCAGCTGCCGCCATTGCCTTCGCGCAAACGGCGGGATCCCGCACTCCCAGGTGACCGAGCTCACCGCTTCCGGGTCCTCTCGGCTGTTTCCGGATCCGCTCGGCTGTTTCCGGATCAGCCCTGCTAGAGGCCGAGGAGACCCGTGTGGACGCCCGGCCGCGGTCCCGCGCCCCGCCCCTCTCCGCCTTCCTTCCTGGGGAGCGCTCTTGGAGGGCACCAGCTCTCCAAAACCCCAAGTTCTTTTCCCCAAAGGCTTCCTAGTGCCTCCGTGTGGCCCTGCTCTGCTCAAAGGCCGCCTCCTCGGAGGTGCCCGCCGGCCTCAGCCCCGGGTGGGCGAGCTGTCGCGGCCTCCCGAGCCCGGAGCCCGGAGCCGGCTCCTGGCGGGGCCCCTGCCGCCTTCCGCGGGGCCTGGCTCACGTTCCAGCGATTGCGGCCAGGCCTCCTGCCCCTCCGCCCTCGGGGGGCGTCCCTCGGGGCAGGGCCGGGTCGGCTCCACTTTTCTGGGCGCCTGAGTCCCCGCGTCGCCAGTGGTTTTAAGTCTGGCGCTGACGGTCCCCACCCCACTTTGATGTTCAACCACTCGCCGCTTCCTGCTGATACCTCTCCCGTCCAGGTCCAGTGCCTCTCAAATCCATCCTCCTCCCTCTGCCGTTGCCGGTCAAGCTCTTATCTGAGACATCCCCCCTTGGACAGTAACAAGAAACTCAAACTTAGTTCAGAGCTTTGATTCCCCTTCTCTCAACCCGTTCCTGTAGAGCACGTGCCAGGGGCCCGGAAGTCCTGTAAACTTCCTCCAAAGGACTGAGTTGGAGGACTTGTTCCTTTGTCTTCATCTCCAGGTGTGAAACCCAGCCCTAGTGCAATCATCTCTCCCCTAAACTTCCCCAATAACTCCTAACTCCTCCCCGTGTGGCCTTTAGGCTCCTGAGTTATTCTCAAAGCAGCTGGAGCCACCTGTGAAACACATCATGTCATCCCTGCTTAAAGTCTAGTTCAGTCCAGTTTGAAAATGGGCAAAGGACGGGAATGGATGTTTCACTGATGTCACAGATGGCATATTTGCACATTCAACATTATTAGCCATTAGGGAAACCAAACTAAACCACATATAGATATCACTACACTCCTCCCGGGCTGGCTAAAATAGGAGAGTGAGAATACCATGTGAAATGGAATTCCTGATGGGAATGTATAATGGTATAGTCGCTCAGTATGGCAGTTTCTAACAAAACTGAACATGACTTACTGCAACACCAAGCTTTAAACTGCAAGGTCTCAGCTCAAAAGTCACCTCATCGAGGCCTTCCCTGACTTGACTACTCCTTCCAAAATAGCCAACCCCGATCACCTGGCCACCATCGGATTGCATTAGAGACTTCTCACCACTGAAATGACCTATCGGTTAACTTGTTTATTACCTGCCCCCCTCTGCCCTTCTGTGGCCCCAAAACTCGAATCAAAGCTCCAGGAGGTCAGGAACCTTGTATTTCTTGTCCCCGCTCTTTCCCCAGCACCTAGCGCAGTGCCTGAGGAATAAACATCCGGGAATCAATGGATGAGCACTCCCCTGACGGGCCTCTCCAGTCTCCCTCCAATTCCCCTCCGCACCGCAGTCAGGGGGAGTTGTTAGAAAGTGCAAACCTGGCCAGGCCAATCCTGGCTTATAAATCCCCAATAGCTCACTTCCCTAGCAGCTTCCTGTCCTCAGGACTCCCTGTGTGTGTGGCACAGTTTCTCGGGGAGGGGGTGAAATGATGACTGTAACAAAGCTCCAGTCAGCTCTCAGGCTGGGCTTATCCTGAGGCCCTTGGGCTCACTGAAGTCCATTGAGCAGGGGAAGCACATGATTAAGACCAAGGAAGCTCTCTGGGGCATAGGTGGGAAGCAAAAGAGGTAGAAGACAGAGGACTCTCCCCCCCAACCCCCCCTCGCCCCCCCCCCGCAACACACAAAAGGCCATTGAAATGGTTCTAGTTGGGAAGGGAAAAGTCCAAAAAGGGAGAAAGTTGGTTCTAGAAATAACTAGGCTAGAAGATGACTCGTTGGTAACCATGCACGGCAGGAAGAGAAAAGGAGGTTTTCTGTCTTTCTCCCTAACTTCCTTTCCTTATACAACGAAGCTTACCAACACCTAGCAGTCAGTGAAAAGACAGTGAGATCCCTGTTGTGGAAGAGGGGATGCTGGGCAGGAGGCGCCTGAGGACACTAACAGCAGACTTTGGGCTGGGTAAGTGCTGGGAAGGAGACAAACAGGGTCAGGGAAAGCCTCTCAGAAAGCCACACTTGAACTGAGACTGAATGATGGGAAGGAGCTGTTCAGAGGGGCAGAGGTTGGAGGTGGGGGGAGTGGAAGTGGGGGCGGGGGGAGTGGGGTGGAAGTGGAGGTGGGACAGCCTCACTCAGTCCTTTGGGGACATGATTCCGAGTTTGTTTGTTTTTTAATATATTTTATTTTATTTTTTTAAATATATATATTTTATTGATATTTTACAGAGAGGAAGGGAGAGAGATAGAGAGCTAGAAATGTCGAGAGAGAAACATCGACCAGCTGCCTCCTGCACACCCCCTACCGGGGATGTGCCCGCAACCAAGGTACATGCCCTTGACCGGAAATGAACCTGGGACCTTTCAGTCTGCAGACCGATTCTCTACCACTGAGCCAAACCGGTTTCAGCCCGAGTGGTTTTTTTTGTTTTGTTTTTTTAATTTTTTAAAAAATATATATTTTATTGATTTTTTACAGAGAGGAAGGGAGAGAGATAGCTAGAAACGTCGATGAGAGAGAAACATCGACCAGCTGCCTCTTGCACACCCCCTACCGGGGATGTGCCCACAACCAATGTACATGCCCTTGACCGGAATCGAACCTGGACCTTTCAGTGCGCAGACCGATGCTCTACCGCTGAGCCAAACCGGTTTCGGCCCAAGTGTTTTTAAGTGGATGAGAAGCCGCTGCGCGGTTCTAGGCAGAGCACTGTTGGCTCTCGAAGACTTTGCTCCGGAGGCAGCTGGGATGCTAATGGCAGGATCAGAGAGATTCTGTTGAATGAAAGGCAAAAACCCCACAAAAAAACCCCATAAAAAAACAACAACAAAAAGGCCCTCTTCATTCCCCAATGCCCACTCTTCCCCCTGCCAGCCGCCAAAGGGAAGTGGGGGCCTGACAGATGGGGGGTCCCCTGGGGTTTGCCGGAGGCAAACAGGAAGCCGCAGCCCAGTGAGGCGGCTCTGGGAACCGGCCCCTGAGCAGCAGGTCTCCTGGGCCCCCAGCCTCCTCCTGAGTGCCTGCCGCCCTGCAGACACCGACAGGCGCACACACGCACACCGAGGGGGGTGGTAACACCCTACCCTTGTGTGGGCCTCAGTTTCCTCATTTCTAAATGGGTCCTTCTGTAACTGAAGCAGGGCTTCCTAGGAGAGAACTGGGAGAGAGTGGGGATTGGTCGTTGGTTGCCTCTCAGACCACTGCAGAGAGCTACCGGGGTGCCGCCTGGCTTGAGCTCAGCCATTACCTGATGCTGTCCCTCATTCGCTGGGCGCCGGGCTGAAGATGCCATGTGTCTATCGTTCTGCTTAATCTTCATAAACAGCACTTTAATAGCCCTAACCGGTTTTGCTCAGTGGTTAGAGCGTCGGCCTGCGGACTCAAGGGTCCCAGGTTCGATTCCGGTCAAGGGCACGTACCTTGGTTGCGGGCACATCCCCAGTAGGAGGTGTGCAGGAGGCAGCTGATTGATGTTTCTCTCTCATTGATGTTTCTGACTCTCTATCCCTCTGCCTTCCTCTCTGTAAAAAACAATAAAATATATTTAAAACAACAACAACAACAAAATACCCACACTTTAATAGTACTATTATTACCTCCAGTTTACAGAGAAAGAAACAGAGGCTTAGACAGACAAAGAAATTTAATCAAGTAGTAGAGGCAGAGGATTCAAACTCAGGCCTGCCAAGTCCCGAAATACCTGGGACAGGCTGGTGGTATAGGAGTGATGGTGGCCCAAGTATTGGTTGAGTGAGGAAATGAAGGGTGTGTGTGTGTGTGTGTGTGTGTGTGTGTGTGTGTGGCGGGGAGAGGAGGGAGGGAAATGGATTTGGAGCCTGAGGTTGGAGGAGGGAGGAGTGGAATCAGGAGGGAGCCCCTACGACTGGACTGGGTCCACTCATTCCACAGACATTCATTGGGCACCTTCATGTGCCGAGCGCTGCTCAGGGCTTCGTGCTCCCGTCTGTGCTGCAACGGGCTTCCTCTCGCCGGGGGAACAGAAAGTGAGCAAATGGACTCCAGACCATTTCACTTCACTGGTGTGAGTGCTGGGATGGAAATAAACCCGGGCAGCCGGAAGGAGGGGACTTTTGTGGGTCTGCAGAGGTGCACGGAGAAGGGGCCTGAGGCGTGACCTCCCCTTCCTCCCCGAGAGGAGGGGAGGGGACTGCCCACCCGCCCCCGTAAACACCTATGGTTCAGTGCCCCGCAGCCCCCCACTGGCCCCAGCATCCCCTGCGCGGGGAAGCTGGGTGCCTCGGAGAGGCTGGCCATCATGCCACCTCCTCTCCTCTTCTTCCTCCTCTTCCTCACCCCGGTGGGAGTCAGGCCCCAGAAATCTCGGCTGGTGGAAGCTACAGGTATGACCCAAGGGCACAGATGGAAGGGGCCAGGGCTGCACACCTGGGTTCAGGCTGGATGCCCTTGGCCAAGTAACATTCCCTCTCTGAGCCTCCATTTTCTTCATTGTAAAATCCAGGCCAGGCTGAATGGTGCTGAAGGCTCATGGCTCCCAGTGGGTGGGGAATGGGGTCACTGGGGTTGTAACCCAGTGAGAGGCTGAAGGGGGCTAGCTGCTCCCTCCACCCCACCCCTGCTCTCTCTCCGCAGAGGGAGGCAATGCTATGCTGTCGTGTCTTTCCTCTGAGGATAACCATGATCAGGTGGCCTGGTATCAGGCGTGCCAGGCGCAGCGGAACCGGAGCCGAGGGCTGCCAGGCCTGGGCACCCAGGTGTGGCCCCCGGGCATCCTGCTGCTCATCTCCAACATCTCTGACGAGATGGGGGGCTTCTACCTGTGCCAGCAGGGGCCCCCTTCCCAGCAGGCCTGGCAGCCTGGCTGGGCAGTCAGCGTGAACGGCAGCGGTGAGGTCTAGGGTGGGGCAGGGAGGGCTGGATGAGAAGAGGGAAGCCAGCGTGGAAGGAGGAGGATCTGAGGGGTAGGGCTGGAAGGCCCAGGGTCCAGCAGGAAGCCAGTTGTAGGTGCTCCTGTAAACGCCTATGGCTTTGGGACGTCAATACTGAACCACTCCATGTCTCTCTGTCTCCTTTCTCTCGGAGACGCTGCTTCTCTGTCTCTCTCTGGATCTTTGTTCCTGTTTACTTGTGTCCTTCTGGGTCTCTCGGTTTCTTTGCCTTTCCTGGATGTCTCTGTACCTGGTCCCGGGTCTCTTCCCAGGGGAGCGGTTCCGCTGGAAGGCTTCAAACCCAGATGACCCGGGCTGTGACCCGGGGAACAGGTCCACAGAGGACCCCGGGCCCTCGTCTGATGGCCTCACAAGCTCCCAGCTGTACGTATGGGCCGAAGACCACCCCGAGCTCAGGGAGAAAGACCCTGCCTGTGCCCCCCCTCAGGGCAGCTCAAACCAAGGTAAGGTGCCAGGGAAACGCCAGGAGGCGAGGGGCCAGGGATGGAGGGTGGCGATTGGGAACTGGAGGGCTGGTTTGGGGGGGAGGAGACTCTGAGGCTGACACCAGCCTTGCCTCTCCTTGCCCCAGACCTCACAGTGCCCCCTGGCTCCACGCTCTGTCTGCCCTGCGGGGTGCCTTCTGCTTCTGTGGCCAGAGGACCCGTCTCCTGGATCCACGTGCACCCCGGAAAGCCCAACATCTCATTGCTGAGCCTGAACCTGAGCGAGGAGGCTCCCGTCAGAGAGATGTGGGTCCTGGGCACCCTCAGCGGAGGGGTTGTTCTGTGGCTGCATCAGGCCACGGCTCGAGATGCTGGCGCCTATCATTGTTACCATGGCAACAGGACCGTCGAGATGCAGCTGAGAGTCACTGCCCGGTCAGGTAGGGTTTCTCCCAGTTGTGGGCCCTGTGTGCAGGGCTCCTGGGAAGACCTGGAAGCCAGTCCGCCTGGGCTCCTCTTGGCTAGTACAGCTGCGCCTGAGACCCAACCCCTACGCTGAACGCTGACGACACCTCTTTCCTCCCTGCTTCCAAGATCCTGCTTCTCGGGGTCTCCTCCCGCCCCTGGCTGCCCCTGTCCATCAGCGCTAGTAGCACCTTCCTCCCCCACTCCTCATCTTTGGGGTCCTGAGCCCCCTTCTCATCCCTGTTCACACTCTCTGGCTCTTGTCTACACACCCTTCCTATAGGACCCCCTTTCCTCTCTTGGCCCCTCAGACCACCAGGCCTTGGTGACTGGCTTCCAGGCTCCATATGCCCACCCCCAGCCTCTCCTGGAGTGGCCATGGGATGCCCCCTGGGCACGGTAGCTCAACATGTACAAGAAAGTGAAACTCATTGTGCTCCCCAAGCAGAGTCTCCTGGGCGACCCAGTGGAAGTGAAGAATTTACCACTTGCCCACGTGCCAAAGCCAGAAATGTGGCACCCTGCCTTTGCCTTACCTCACCCATCAAATTTGTCACAGTGATCTGCCCATTTTCTACCCTAACACAATCCGACCTGCTACCCTAAACAGTTCTCAATCTCAACTTCCACTCCAAGTTTACCTCAGCACCTTGCTGCCTCCCACCTTCAACTTTGTGAGCTCAACTCTGCCCTCCACTTTGACTGTGGCTGTTCTATATATAAATATATATATATATATATATATATATATATATATATATATATATATATATATATATAAAATTGATTTTTTTTACAGAGAGGAAGGGAGAGGAATAGAGAGTTCGAAACATCGATGAACCCGATGGATAAGACCCAGGCATTTCTTTAAATTTCAGAGGTGCTGAGACCGGTTTGGCTCAGTGGATAGAGCGTCGGCCTGTGGATTGAAAGGTCCCAGGTTCGATTCCGGTCAAGGGCATGTACCTTGGTTGCGCGCACATCTCCAGTAGCGGGTGTGCAAGAGGCAGCTGATCGATGATTCTCTCTCATCGATGTTTCTAACTCTCTCTCTTCTTTCCTCTCTGTAAAAAAAAAAAATAATCAATAAAATTAAAAAAAAAATCTCAGAGGTGGCAGTAAACTTTTCAGTGTTGCTGTTAACAAGTGTGTTTGCCAGTAGATACCCACGTGTACTAATGTGCCAACAAGTAAAAGTTAATTGCACATCTGCTTCCACTGTGTCCCACGGGTGCCATTTAGTGTGAGAGCCTCGTCTCGAGGAATGGACGCTGCATTGACTACTGCTATCAGATTGTGCTGTGGGTGTAATCATCTACATAAATTTTTAAAAATATATATATTTTATTGATTTTTTACAGAGAGGAAAGGAGAGATATAGAGAGCTAGAAATGTCGATGAGAGAGAAACATCGACCAGCTGCCTCTTGCACATCCCCTACTGGGGATGTGCCCACAGCCCAGGTACATGCCCTTGACGGGAATCGAACCTGGGACCTTTCAGTCTCAGACCTAAGCTCTATCACTGAGCCAAACCGGTTTCGGCCATCTACATAAATTTTATGTGCACAGTAATTTCCCTTTTATATGTCAGGTAAATATTTGTAAAAGTCATACTCACACAAATGAAATTATTATAATGATTACTAATATATTTTTTCCATGTTTCATTGCTTGAATAAAAACTGTTTACTACTGTTAAAAAAGAAACATCGATGAGAGAGAAACATTGATCAGCTGCCTCCTGCACACTCCCTACTGGGGATGTGCCCGTAACCAAGGTACATGCCCTTGACCAGAATTGAACCTGGGACCCTTGAGTCCGCAGGCCAATGCTCTATCCACTGAGCCAAACTGGCTAGGCTGCTAGGGTGACTGTGGCTGCTCTTAGCTGCAGCAGGAAGCTGGTCATCCTCACCTTAAGCCTAACATTTCATGGTTTGCTTCCTGGCTACTTCCCCTGGCCCTGTGCCAGGCTCTGAGGCCCAGGCCGGGTCCTCAGAGGGAAGGAGGAGAGCTCTCCTGTAGCTGGGGACTTGGAGGCTTGGCGTCTATCCCTGTCCCCCAGATTTATGGCCCTTTGAGGTCTCGGGGCCTGGAAACAAAGTGCCAGCCTGGTCCTGGTCTCATAGCTCCTTGCCCCAGCAGTGCGGTGGTGGCTGCTGAAGGCTGGAGGCTGGAGGGTCCCGGTGGCGGCCTTGGTGTACCTGATCTTCTGCATGGGCTCTGTGGCTGGCTTCCTTTATCTGCGGAGAGGTGAGTCATGGCCCCCAAAGGGTCTGCCAGTCCTCACACTGCCTCCTGCAGGAGCCCACACTGGCCAGTCTTACACTGACTCTCCCCCACCCCAGACTTTACAGTCCTGCCCCCCTCCCCTTCTCTAAGTGCCCTCCAGACTTCCCCAGCCCCTTGGAATTTGAACTCCCAGCTCTTCCATTGACCCAAGCGACCTCCCCAGCACCCCCAAAATCTTCACCCAGCCAGGGAGCTCTTCCTCTGATCATTCCCATTAACTCCCACCAGCGCTGACCCTGAGGAGGAAAAGAAAGCGAATGACAAACCCCACCAGAAGGTAAGAATGTGGGTACCCTCGGCCCCCAGAATCCCACTCCTGCGCTTCCACTGAATGCTTTGCTTGCTGTTTGCTCTGCGGAGGGAGGGCGCCTTTATCCCCACCTTCCATAGCCCAGCTCCAAAGCCACCTCTTCTGGGAAGATCTCCTTGGAGCGACCCCAGAGCCCCCCTGCAGGCTGTCCTGGGACTGAGCAGCTGATGACAAGTGACCACCTTCCAATCTCTGAGGCCTGGCCTGCACCCCGGGGGTGTCTCCCCCGCCCCTCCAGGCCAGGCCTAGCGCACCCCTTTCCTCCTCCAGGTTCTTCAAAGTGACGCCTCCCCCGGGCAACGGGGCCCAGAGCCAGTACGGGAACGTGCTCTCCCTGTCCTCGCCCACGGCTGGCACGGGTAGGAGGCCGGGCGGGGTCACCGGGCTGGGGCCCCCTTCCCGCTCCGCAATCCCCAGAGCTCCCGGCGCCCCGGCTCCGAGCTCCTCCGACAGCAAAGACCCCGCCCCGGGGCGGAGCTAACAGCAAAGACCCCGCCCCGGGGCGGAGCCCCAGCCAGCGGTGAGCCCCGCCCTTAGGACCCAGGCCCGCCCCCAGGCTCAGGTCCGAAGTTCTGTTCGGAGTAGAACAGACGCGCCCGGGAACGGGAGGCCACGCCCCTGGTTCGGATCCGGTGCCTAGACTCCGGGGTCATCCTAGACCCAGAGCATCCTCTCCCGCGCCCGCGCGCAGACCTCGGCCCTGACGCCCAGTCCCCTCCTCGCCCCCACCCCGCCCTCCTGCAGGACGCTCCAACCGGTGGGCTGCAGGCCTGGCCGCCGCCGCCCAGTCCTACGGAGGAAACCCGTACAACGAGGTCCAGGAGGCCGGAGCCGCGGGGTCCCGGAGCCGGACGGGGGCAGCTGATGATGGTGCAGGGTCTTTACTCCTATGTGGGGGTGTCAGAGTCCTCTGTGGCAGGAATAGTTAACTGGGGCCCCCAGAGAGGGGGCCATGACTCGGTCTCACCCCTACCCCCAAATCCCAGGCCCAGACGAAGAAGAAGGGGAGGCGTATGAGGAGCCGGACAGTGAGGGGGGCTCCTATGAGAACGACTCCAACCTGGGCCAGGACCAGCTCTCCCAGGGTAAGACTGCCCCCCGCTGCCTTCCACCTCCTCAGGGGGGCTGTGGACCCTCGCTGGACCCCCCTCCCTCTCTCTCCACAGATGGCAGCGGCTACGAGAACCCTGAGGATGGGGCCCTGGGTCCCGAAGAAGAAGACTCCTTCTCCAATGGTAATTGGGGTCATCCTGGAACCTCAGAGACTCGGGGGGACCCATGGAGCTCCTACAGGGCAGGAGTGGGCCCTGACATTCTCTTTTTCTGCAGCATCTGAGCTGTATGAGAACGAAGACGAAGAGCTGGCCCAGCCAGTGGCCAGAACAAAAGGTGTGTGTGTGAGGATGGTCACACCCTGAGAGCGTGAGGGGTGGTGGTGATGGTGGTGGTGTGTGTGACTTGATGACCAGAAGCAATAGTGACTCCCTTCTCCCTTCTTCAGACTTCCTGAGCCCCCCTGGGACTGCCTGGGACCCCAGCCGCGAGGCAACATCCCTTGGTGAGAAACGCTTAGGACCTGCCTAGATTGGGTTGGCCTGGTCTCAGCTCTAATTCCAGGCAGAACCTTGACTTTGCTTTGACCCCCAACCCAAGCCCAATCCTGATCTTAGATTTGACTCTTACTTAAAACCTCAACACCTCCCCCAACCCTAATTGAAACTCCAGTATTTGACCCTTCCCTAACCATGAACATCAACCCTGATCCCAACCCAATTCCAGCCTGGACTTTGACCTCCACCTCACCTCAGCCCCAATGCAGACCTTCGCTTGGACCCCAGCTCTCTTTCTATAACCTCCTCGTAACTCTAACTTGGACTCTTTCCAATTCTGTTCTTTTTTTTTTTTTTAATATGTGTAATTTTTCTTTTTTCATAGCTTGACTTAAAAGTGGGTTCTTTTGATTTTGTTTTTATTCCAGAGAGGAAGGGAGAGGGGGAGAGAGAGAGAAACATCAATGATGAGATCATTGATCAGCTGCCTCCTGCATGCCCCACATGGGGATTGAGCCTTCAACCTGGGTATGTGCCCTTGGCCAGAATTGAACCTGGAACAACTTCAGTCCTCAGACTGCCGTCCTATCCACTGAGCCAAACCAGCTAGGGCTCCAATTCTGTTCTTAACTATTTCTCTGACCAAGACTATAATCTAACCCATACCTGACTGAACCCTAAAATTAGCAAGGACCCCGAACCTGATGCTGACCCCAATCACTCCTTCCTAGTACCTGGATCAAGCCTCCCACCTCTCCCTGCCCCTCAGGCCCCCTCCATATCTTAGGCTGCACTTCCCTTCCCCAAACCCCCAGCGTGGCTCCCAAACCCCCGGCTCCCCATCTCCTGCCCACACAGGGTCCCAGTCCTACGAGGATATGAGAGGGATCGTGTATGCCGCCCCCCAGCTCCGCTCCCTTCGGGCCCCGCCTGGCCCCAACCACGAGGAAGGTGGGTGCTTCTGCTGCTGTCCCCTGGTGTCCTCGGAGGCTGATCTCTCCCAGCCTCCTCCCAGCTCCGTGTTTCCCTCCTGCCTGGTCCTCACCAGATGCGGATTCTTATGAGAACATGGACAATCCTGATGGGCCAGAACCAGCGTGCGGAGGAGGGAGCCACAAGGGTGCCTGGAGCTCCCGCTGATTCCCTGCAGGTGAGCTGGGAGCCGCCCTCTGTGGAAGGAGGGAGAGGATGGCAGGGATGGGAGTGGGTGTGGCACTCGGGGGGGTGGGGGGGGGAGGAAAAAGGGTTCCCGAGGCCTGGTGGGCAGGGGGAGGGCTCCTGGACTCTCCCCATCACAGTTTCTCCTGCATGCCCTGGGCTCCTCAGGTTCCTGAGATCCACACCCGACTGAGATCTGGGAACCCAAAGCAGATGATGTCAACCTCGAGCGACGCTGCTCAGGATATGTGTACCCGTGTGTGTGTGTGTGTGTGTGTGTGTGTGTGTGCGCGCGCGCGCGTGTGCGCACAAGTGAAACGTCAGTCCCGTTTGCGCTGCCCAAATAAACTCACGAGCTGTTCCAATCCTGTGATGTGGTGCCCTTGTGTGAGAGGGCGGGAAGGTGAGGTCGGGGTATTCCTGTCCTCTCAAATCCAGTGGAGGGAAAGCTGCATCTTGGGCACAACAGGGCCTTTTCCTCCCTATGTCTTGGCCTATACCATCTCCCCTGCTTGCCTGCCATTCCCACCATCAGTTGTTCAGTCCTTGTTCATTCAGCAGTTGTATGCTGGGTGTGCAGTGAAAAGGAAGCGATCCAGGAATTGGCAGCCATCACTGGCGTTTATTGAACATCTATTATGTTCTCACATCAATTAACTTATTTAATCTTTGCAGTAACCTCCCCAAGTTATGTGCCAGGATTGTATTAAAGTATTCCACATATTTTACATATGTATTATGTATATGTGTGTTTTTGTATATTAGCTAATTTTATCTTCACAAACATCCCTATTTTCTCGATGAGCAAACGGAGGCAGAGAAGCTAAATAACATGCTCAAGCCTTGCCTAGTTAGTAAGTGCTGGGGCCTGGATCTGAACTCCGGCTGTCTTATTCCAGAGCCTAAACTTAGTCTTTTTAAAAATATATTTTTATTGATTCCAGAGAGGAATGGAGGAGGAGAGAGATAGAAACATCAGTGATGACAGAGAATCATTGATCGGCTGCCTCTTGCACCCCCACAGTAGGGATCAAACCCACAGCCCAGGCATGTTCCCTGAGTGGGAATCGAACCGTGATCTCCTGGTTCATAGGTCGACGCTCAACCACTGAGCTATGCCAGCTGGGTGAGCCCATACTCAATCTCCCCTCCTAGGTGCAATTCTGCAGATGGGAAACTGAGAGCCAGGGTCAACTAACATGTCTAAGGTCACACAACTAGCACTCACAGAGCTGGGTCTGAGTCCAGAAATCCGGCCGCCATTCTAGCCACTGTGCCCACCTGATCAACTGCCTACTTCTGATACAAACCACCAGCAAAAAGACTTCCAGAACTACAAGTCTCCGGGCCCTGAAACCATTTTGTAGAAGCTCCGCCACACTCCAGTTCGCTTCTCAGGCGAGGGTGGAACCAGCTGCCTTCTGCCTGCCGCCTTCTGCCTGTCTCCCAGCTCCCGTGCTCTCCGGAGCCCAGGGCTGGCTGAAGCCCAGCCCCTTGTCTGCCCAGGAAGTGCCGATGTCTTTGCAAGACTGACTAGACTTTTCAGCATCTACAGCTTTATTTCCACCATTACTTTTCCTGATGTACCAGTTCTTTCTTCTAATGTCCTGTGTTTGTCTCAGAGACTCTATTCCTTCTCTGCCTCTGACCCTTCAAAACTTACTTTAACACTATTATTACGCACTGGGCATTATTCTAAGAAGTGCTTTATGGGAGCATCTTGTTTCATCTCTATAACCTCTTAGGAGGAAGGTACTAAAATAATTGTCAATATGCAGCTAAGAAAGGTACAGAGAAAGTACTCGGTTGCTAACTGACCTTAGGCAGTCTACCTCCACGCCATGGCGCTCAGTCTTCCCAGTTGTAAACCGTGGGAGGGAAGGCGCCTGCCTGGCTGTCCGCACACGGGTTATGCTCCCAGGGCAGTGTCGCCGGGAAGGCTCCTTTGACGTCTGTGAGTTACCTGCGCCATGCCCCCCCCCCCCCCCCCCGGCCAGCTTGCCTTGGCTTCTGCCAGTCTTACAGGCTGCACAGGTTTGACCGTTTTATTCCTGAGTTTCCCAGAGCAGGTTTCTGCACCCGCGGTTTGGTCTGAGTCCAGGTTCACACTCTGACCTTCTGTCGTGACTGCTCCCATCCACGGCCATGGGGGGGGCGTGCTCCCATGTCGTGCCCGAGGCAGGGGCACGCACTTCTTTCCTCTGTCTTCTGTGCGCGGGAGAGACAGCCTCCTCTCAGTTCTCAGCCTGGGCAGTGCACTCCCCCTCAGCTCTCTGCCGTCCCAGGCCTCCGCCTGACCTCTGTTCCCATGTGAGTGGAAAACTCCATCCCAGCTTCCCGAGGGCTGCTGGACTTCATCCCCCTCACCGTAGTGGCTTTGCTTTCCTCCTCCTCCTCCTCCTCCTCCTTCTCCTCCTCCTTCTTTTTAAATGTATTTTATTGATTTTTTACAGAGAGGAAGGGAGAGGGATAGAGAGTTAGAAACGTCAATGAGAGAATCATTGACCAGCTGTCTCCTGCACACCCCCCACTGGGGATGTGCTCGCAACCAATGTATATGCCCTTGACCGGAATCGAACCTGGGACCTTTCAGTCTGCAGACCAATGCTCTATCCACTGAGCCAAACTGGTTTTGGCTGCTTTCCTTCTTTATTTTTAGCACCAGGAAGGTTCTGTCTTGCTTTTGAGCTCAACACTCTTTAATATATATACATATATTTAGCCCTAGCCTGTTTGGCTCAGTGGATAGAGCGTCAGCCTGGGGACTGAAGAGCCCCAGGATCAATTCTGGTCAAGGGCACATGCTCAGGTTGCGGCCTCGATCCCCCCTGGGGGGTGTGCAGGAGGCAGCGGATCAATGATTCTCTCGATATTTCTATCTCTCCCTTCTCTCCCTTCCTCTGCAAAATCAACAAAACATATTTTTACTTATTTTTTTAAATTTTTGCATTCTTTTTATTTTAAAAAAATATTTTTTATTATTTCAGAGAGGAAGGGAGAGGGAAAGGGAGAGGGAGAGATAGAAACATCAATGATGACAGAGAATCGTTGATTAGCTGTCTCTTGCACTCCCCCTACTGGGGATCGAGCCCGAAACCTGGGCATGTGCCTTTGACTGGAATCGAATCTGGGATCCTTCAGTCCACAGTCTGATGCTCTATCCACTGAGCCAAACCAGCCAGGGCCATCCTGCCTTCTTGAGAGTGAATCCATGCCCGGGTCTTCTCTGTGCCCAGGATACCCAGCCAGGGGATGACAAAGATCAGAAGCTCAGGAAATGGGTGAAGGTCTGTGGAAAGTCCTGAGATTCGGGGTGCGGAGGAAGGAGACACTCCGAGGGCTCCGCCAACCAGGGAAGTCTCGGGGCAGCTGAGGAACAGCAGGGTGCCCACTGCCGCCCAGGTGCTGGAGTCAGACTTTGAGTTCAAAGCCCCTTTCTAGCTGTGTGACCCAAGCTCTTCGGCTGCAGTTTCCTGGTCTGTAAAATAGGGGTGATCATTACAGCTACCTCAGTGAGCCTCTGCTGTAAAGCACATGCAGCGGCACAATAAGCGCTCAGACAGTAACCATTATTTACTTACTTACTTACTTACAGGAAGGGAGAGAGATTGAGAGAAATCAACTTATTGTTCCTCTTATTTATGCATTCATTGGTTGGTTCTTTCATGTGCCCTGACCAGGAACTGTACCCACAGCCATGGCATATTGGGACGATGCGCTAACCCGGCCCAGGGCTTAACCATTATGATTATTATTTAGCATTTATTAAGGGCCTACTGTGTGCCAGGAGCCCCATTAACATTGGGGCTTCCAGGCAGGTCTCTACCAGGAGGAAGCCATACCCAGAGCTCCTCAACTTCCGGTGCGAAGTAAGGCCCGTTTTTACAGCCGGGGCCGGGCCCCTTCCAGCAAGGTTTAGGGGGGAGACCTGGGGACGCTGCAGAAACATAGGGCCATGCCCAGCTCCCCTCCTTTGCAGAGGCTCCCAGGAGGGCCCAGGGCTGGCAAAGGGCTTGGGAGCCATCGCTGTGTTTCCGGCCCGGCTGCAAAGAGTAGCTGACGGTTTCCTGGGAGTGAGAGGCCCTTGGTGTACCCTCTGCCAGAGCCTGGAGCCTTTGTTCCCTGGGAAACAGCCCTGCCTGCTGGGATGCGTGCCTTTAGCCTGGGCCTGAGCGAATCTGGAGGATGTGAGGTGTAGGCGGACCATGCTGGGGTATCGGAGTGGGAGCTATCAGTGTGGCGAAGCAGGCGGATGGGATGGGATGTGAGCGGTGGCTGTGTCCTGGATGGGTGTGCCAGGTACCTGTTCTGTGAAGAGTCTGTGTGGGAGAGGCAGGCAGTATTGAGTATATGCCGGGTGGGTATCATTTAGGAAGTGTAGTGTGGGATGTGTGGGTGAGGTGTCAGGGCTCATGTATTAATAGTCGGAGGTGATATTGGAGATGTGACGTGTTGAAGGCATGTGTGTGCTGTGTTTTGGAAGCATGTGATGCAGGAATTGTAAGGTAGATACGTGGAGGATATATAGCCTCTGGGGTGTCAATGTTGTTGGTGGGTTCTGGGGAAATACAATGAGAAAACAAAATCTTCTCCCAACCCAGAAACTCTCTGCAGATGTAGTAGAGACAGAAAACATTAAAAAAAAAAAAAAAAAAAAAAAAAAGCATTAAATCAGAATGGATGCACATCACAGGCAACCCACTAAGACAGCGGTCGGCAAACTCATTAATCCACAGACCACATATCAACAGTACAACGATTGAAATTTCTTTTGAGAGCCACATTAAACTCCTTCTAATGTCACTTCTTCAAAATAGACTCAAAGAGCCACACTTAAGGGGCCAAAGAGCCGCATATGGCTCAAGAGCGAGGTTTGCTGACTACTGCAATAAGAGATTGCAAAGGCAGAAAGACATTCACCTTTTGCATAGCCAAACAGGTACAACCCATCATCCTGTTTTGTTTTTGTTTTTTTCCCCCCCAACATGAAGCTTTTATTGCATCTTTAAAATCTTGCAAATGAGTGTGGCAAATCATTTGACATCTTGCTATCCCTGTAGCTGGACAACTAAGATCTCACCTATCAGCCTGCTGAACTGTTCCTTTTTTCAGAAACATAGATGCCAGCCAAAATTCTTCTGATATCCTTGTTTTTAACTTTGTGGCTTGCTGAATCAAAGCAGCTGAATTTGATACAAGTTCAATGTCATTTCCTTCGAGAATCAACTCATCTTTCTGGGCCTGAGATGCTGAACGAGCAACGTCTGACCTCATCTGAACCCTACGGATGTATTTTTACCCAAGAAATCTCTGATTTCAACAGGAGACCCATTCTCCTGAAAACGGCACTGATGGGGAAGGGAGAGGACACGGAGCTCATTCTGTAACGGAAGCTCAGGGTAACACCTTGATCCTGTTCTGAACGTGACCGCAGGTGGTGTGAACCGTAGCCAGTTCCCTTCCATTACCCCACTTTTGTCAACTCGGAGCCGCTTCCTTTTCTTTCCGGGGAGACTGAGCTCTATACAGGTGTGACCAGAGTCCCTCCGCAGGCGCCTGTGAGGCCCTGCACAGTCACTGTGGTCCCTGCAGGGGGACGCCCACATTTTCTGGGATGTCAGCAGTCTGATTGCTGAGAATGGTCTTTGTCCTCACAGTAGATGTGGCAAAGAGCCATCATCCTGTTTTTAAATTTTTTATTTATTAATTTTGGAGAGTGAGAGGCTCCACTTATTTATGCATCCATTGGTTAATTCTTGTATGTGCCCTGACCAGGGATGGAACCCACAACCTTGGTGTATCCAGACATAACCAATTGAGCTACCGTCGGGGCCAAGATAAAATTTCAAAATCCGTATCTTGTTTTCCAAATAAGCAATGAATATGCCTCAAGTAACCAGACTTGACAGCACCTTCATTTGCACATAGTTCATCCTAATTTTATAATGGTAGTTGGCTTTTATGGGGGGAGGGAGAAACAAACTTCTCGCATGGGGAGGCGGTTGGGTACACTGCAAGGCCCTGAGCAGTTATTCTCCCCCATAACTGAGGGATAGAGAGGGATCTTCCTTAATGTTGCACTTCAAAAGGATGGCTCCCAATCCTTGAGGTCCTGTTTGAGGCTGGCAAAAGACTCATTTAGCAGTTATAAAGCTTTCTATGCACTTGAAAAGTTCTGGAAGAAAAGGGGACAGGGAGGAGTCACAGTCCTTATTTTCAAGAAGGAGAATTGGCCATAGCCGGTTTGGTTCAGTGGATAGAGCATTGGCCTGTGGACCATAGGGTCCCGGGTTCCATTCTGGTCAAGGGCATGCACCTCGGTTGTAGGGCATGCACTTCGGTTGTAGGGCATGTACCTCAGTTGTAGGCTCCCCCCGGCCTCGGACCTGGTAGGAGCTAGTGCTGGAGGCAACCAACAATGTGTTTCTCTCACATCAATATTTCTCTCTGTCTTTCCCTCTCTCTTCCATGGTCTCTAAAAAAATCAACCGAAAAATATCCTTGGGTGAGTATTTAAAAAAAAAAAAGGAGAATTGAGGCTCCTAATTTTTTTTTTAAATATATTTTATTGATTTTTCACAGAGAGGAAGAGAGAGGGATAGAGAGTTAGAAACATCGATGAGAGAGAATCATCAATCAGCTGCCTCTTGCACACCCCCTACTGGGGATGTGCCCGCAACCAAGGTACATGCCCTTGACCGGAATCGAACCCGGGACCTTCCAGTCCTCAGGCCGATGCTCTATCCACTGAGCCACACCGGTCCCGG